GGCAGAAAACAATGGCGCTGTGCTCAAGGATGAAGGAGAAGGTTGGAGTTCAGTTTTGGAAGCGCTGAATTTGGAGCATCTACCTGCCTAGTGAGGAGTATCTGAGTGGAGATGTTAAGTTGACCACAGAATATATGAATCTGGCATTCAGAAGTCATTGGGAAACATAATTCAGTTGCTGCCAGCTTTTTTACAGTGTTTCAGCTGTTTAAGCTAAGATGAGTTCAGAGATAACTGAGCTTACTGAAACATGAGTGATAAGAGAAGAAAGAGGAGACCCCAACCTGGGACAGGGTGGCCCTGATTCTGAGAAATGTAGTACAGGACCTGGAGCTGGAACAGGGGAAAAGCCAAACACTTACTGGTATAGAGCATGCTCTGTAATCGCAGCCGTGCGGGAGGCTGAGGAAGCCGAAGACAAGGACTGGGCGTGAGAGGTCGTGTTGGGGCGCTGAGCTAGGGTGCAGCTCAGCAGTAGAGCACTACACATGCCCAGTGTGGGCACGGAGCCTGAGCCCGTCCTGCAGCACCCAAATCAGCAAAGGGCCTGAGAAAATGCAGCCAGTAAGGGAAAACCAGCTGCAGGGACAGAATCTGAGCAATGAAATTAACAAGGGGGGCCACTAGCAATCTTGAAATAAATGTGGGTAAGAGCAAGGGGGTGATGCAAAGAAGGGTTACTGGGAGTTTTCAAAAGCATGAGAGCAGTTAAGAGTGCATAGGCAAACCTTGCAAATCCTTTGCTGTAAGGAGAGAAGGTAATGAAGTGTGGAACAAATGCAAACAAGAGGAAATGGCTTTCTTTCTTTGTTCTTTCTTTTTGCCTTTCTCTCTCTCTCTCTCTCTCTCTCTCTCTCTCTCTCTCTCTCTCTTTCTTATTTTCATTTGGAAATGAGAAAGGATGTTAGTAAAACAATTAAATTGATTACAAAGAAGAGGGAAAATTGCCTCTGCATCCTTGAATAGCTGGAAAGGATTTGGGTGAGCAACATAAGAAGAGTTTAGAAAGGATGTGGATGGTCCACTTACATACGAGTTGGAGGAAATGTTGAGAGGGAGTGTGTGCTGACAGGTGCCCTTACATACCAGGAAGAGCTCTGGTTCCTTCAGTCTCTTCAGAGGACTTGAACCCACAGTTCTAAGAGCCCTGAAGAGGAAAACACTAGGGATTCAAGAAAAGAGGACAAGTTTTGAGACAATCACCTAAAACGTGAAAGAAAAACAGAACAAGAACTCCAAACATGATTACCTGATAGTTTTAGGTATCTATTTGAAATTTGTCATTATAAATTAAAGTGAAACCAAAAAGGTTACAATTTTGTTCAGATGCAGATCTGCAGGTACAAAACAGAATGATCTTAATTTAACTACAACTGAAGTTTTGCCAAGCTACCATGACATCAAAGCAGAGACAACAAGTCCAGGGGATATGTGACTGAGTGGTTATGAAGATGCACCACGGTGTTTTAACCGAGGAAGGGTAAATGGACAAGAAGAGGGGTTGTTAAACAGTGATCGGGTTATTGGAGTAACTCATAGCAAGCACAAATGACTGCTGGGCTTGGAGGAGTAGAAGCATGAACTGGAAAATTAGAAGAGCTAGTCGGAGAGTTGAAGTGCATAGATCGGGGATTAAATTTCTAAAAAAGAATGCAAGAAAAGTGAGTGAAGAATATACAGTTGAAATGGAATTATTCAAGAAAACCAAATAATCAGATATATACTCAAATTATGAGCACGAATTGCCTAAGTATCTAACTCCGAAAAGATTTTAAAAGACAACCAAGTAAAAGGAACAGAAAGAATTTAAAAACATTTCAGACATACAGACACTTGCCACATGACATACAGACATCTACCACCACCAATCAGTGGTGCCTAGATTCAAAAAATGAATCCCATATACAATAAAGGTCTGGGACAAGGTGGATCAGAATAGAGAAACTGTATACACAAGAACTACAATAGAAACACTGTCATAATAGACTATAAGAAAGGGAGAAAACCAGCACATATGCAGAATGCACTTTTAAGAATTGAATATGTTAAATTCAAGGATTAAAAAAAGTATAAATATTCCAATACAAAAGGTCATGTCACTGGAAAGAGACAAAACTTTTCTGCAGGAAGACTCAATAATAGAATCCTAAAGTAACATCTACAAAGGCCCAGCAGTTCTGCAGGCCCAGGATTTCACATCAGTTAGGTCGTTCTTCAATATAAAGACAAGAACCTTTTTCAAGTGTATGAGAATCTACATAACTCAGTTCTTATGAGTGCTTTTTGATTTAAAAAATAAAGCTGATCTGATCAAATAATTCCTACCAATGAAATTAAAAGACAGGAAAGCCACCATCTAAAGCTGCTTATCATCAAATTCTAAACAAATATGCAATAAAATAGAAACAGTTGCTAAAATGATGATTTTAAAGCAGAATATTTTTAAAATCCCGTGATATATACAAATTAAAATATAATAAAACTAACAAAAATTAGATGCTTGATAGGAGTTTTGAAGAAATATAATAGTGATAAATTATCTGCTGACAACAAATCAATAGATTTTTTTTAAAAAATCATTAAAGGAGAACATTATTCCAACTCCTTTTAACATGTGTGTGAAAAGTGTCATTTCAAGAAATAATATATTAAATAATCAACAATACCCAATTTTATTAAATTTCGGTTCATTGAAGTACAGTTAACCTGAATAGCAGTATTTTAAAATGTCATAGAGTATTTGTTATTTTATTCTTTCTCTCTAACTTTGCATCAACACAGAAAAAGTGAGAGAGAAGTTATTTGACATGTTTTTACCAACTGCTATGTTAATAATGATGTTTAAGAATATGATTTGGGATGATTGTTTTAGCTATCTTTTTTCAGTGGTAAGCGTATATCTATTTTAAGAAAAACACCTCGTCCCAAGTAACCTAAAACGGAACAGCAACAGGAAAGTACCACTGGTCTCTAAAATAGTGATACTGAGTAAGCAAAACTATGGAAAACAAATAAATTAAACGCCAACATTCAGTGTCTCACAGAATATTGATAGACGGGCAAGTTCCCTTCTCATAATGTCACAGGCAGTTGAGCTAGTTAAAAATATTACAGGCAGCCAGGCAGGGCTGTGCCCTCAAAGGAGCCAGAGCAGAAGTTCAGATACCTTTGCAGCCTCAGAAGAGACAATCATCTCCCGCTGTGGGCCAGATCTCAAGACAAAAGGCAAAGCAAACCACACCCACATCCTAAGCATGAAGAGTCCAGATAGTTCTCTTATCAACCTGAGGAAGTCCCGACAGGAAGAGTCACTGCTGTAAGCGTGCCCCCTTACTACATGACTGGCTCCCCTATTTGTTCCTGATTTAATCAATTTTACCTGGGCAATTAATCTTATTAGTTAACCATGGCTCTGTCCCACCTTGGATCCATCTCATACCATGATTTTACTCTATAAAAGTCCCTAGAAAAGATGGAGTCCCAGGGCTGGGGATTTAGCTCAGTGGCATAAGCGCCTGCCTTGCAAGCAGGCAGTTGTGAGTTTGATCCCTGGTACCGATAAAAAGAAAAAAGACAAAAAAAAAAAAAAAAAAAAAAAAAAAAAACGGAGTCCCTAGCAACCCACTTGGGACCCCTTCTGTCTCTCAGACAGAAGCTTACTTTCTATCAATAAATACATTCCACTCTTAACTCTGTTGTTTCTAAAGTTCATTCTTCCATTTTAGAGAACAGGAACTGGTACTGGACATCTAGTTGGCTGGGAGGTCCATTCCCCTATATCAATAATAGCTTTAGCACTGCAACATGTCATTTCACTACAGAATACTTCTTCTTTCTCTCTATTGCTACATATCAAAGAGATATATAAAATATTCCAAAATTTCAGCAGAAGTTGTCTCATGATGGTGAAATTGTGTATATTATTTATCTTTTCCTAAAGGTCACATACTTATATCCTCCACGGCTACCACAGTTTTGAATTCCTGATTCCCTGAATCAAGACAATAACTCACACAATCAGTGGTGTCTAGATTCAAAGATAGGATGATTCTGAAACTCTGATATTCGTATATTTTAAACAAAAGACAGGTGCTTGTTAAAGAGACATCCCACAGAATAGTTGTCCATACACTTATAACTGACCCAGGGAAGTTTCGGAGATGAGGAAGGAGGTGATGATTTGGCTGTGGGTGAGACTATTTGTGTCAGCTCAGTGAAGCTGAGTCAGGCCAGCAGGTCCAACAGGAAAGAAGCTATTCACTGTGTATAAGGCCAAGGTGAGGAAAACAAAGGTTTTTAGATAAAAACAAAATTTCCTATGCCATTCCATTTGAACTTGAATGTGACATTAGAGTTTACCAATCAGCTCAGGTCAGAATGAGATTGAGGAGGTGCTTGCTGGACAAAGTGGGCTCATGATCACACTACCTTTCTGAGCAGGGCCTATTTGTGAAATTATTTACCGGTAAAACACAGCCACTCAGAGAATTATGAACTTCTTTCTTGCCCTCGCCTAGATGAATCTATTTTACTTCCAGGTTTGATCAGTATAATTCCTACCATTCTCACAAAAATATGAAATAATGTTTACAGAACCACAGATGACCTCACCGTCTTCCCAGCTCAGTGAACCAAGTTCGATTTCATTGAGGACTGTTTTCCCAGACAGAGCACACTGGGAATTTCACCTTCCCCTTGACAATGCCTTATGTAGAATCTATTATAATCACATATTTCCTTTGCCTGTGGAACAAATCCTTAAGGACATATTCACAAGAAAATGAGAAGCAGGAAGACATCGTCTTTTCTAGAATATTGAGTTAGCCTTTGCTGGCCTCTAAAAACCAAATAATGGTAAGATTTAAATAATGTTTAATTTGCATCAGAATCTCTCAAACGATGAGAAATTCTATCTAAATGCACGGCGTTTTATTCTCAGTTTCATTTCCCAAACATAAAGCAAATTCTTTCAAATAATGAAGCCCGAGAAATTTCCTTACCCAGTAAGTTTGACTGCATGTGTCCGAAGCTTTTGATATTTTTCTGAATCTTCACTTGTGCTGGTAACATGTCTATATATCCCAGTCTTGTAAGAGAAGAAATCTTCGTGGACTTTCATTATGGCTAAAATAAAACCCCAGATAAATGGTACAGTTTTTAAAGATCATCTTTAAAAACCTCCAGAAATCTCCCAGAACAACCAAGGAGTAAATTGCAAGAGATTCAGTCTAAGACCGGACTATGTAATTCAACCAGGTTTGTTTTCTTAATTTAATTGGATACAATATTTTTTTATCATTTTACACAAACAATGTTTAGGTGCTTGGACCATTACATAAGCACACCTGGACCATCACAGTGGCTCGCTGGAAGGCTGCCACAGCGGTTGAGCAGCAGACATTCTGCCTTAACCCTGTGCTTCTGAAAACCTACAGTAAACCCAGCAAAGAAGGGTGACCCTGCCTCTCAGGCTGGCAGTCACTATTCTTCCTTCCTAGGAAAATCTTGGGTTTCACATTGAGTTCAAATGTGCCTGTTCCTTCAGATCTGGCATATAAGCCCTGCTTACTAACTCACACAGTGACAATGGACCTGCATTCCCACCCTTAATAGTCAGCGACTCATGCAGCTATACAGAGAATGGGAGCTTCTCACTTGGCTCAGATTTTGTGGAAGGACCCAGGATTTTAAAAAATCAAATTCAGGACGTATTTCCCAAGAAGTTAGTGACTTTTCACTATAAAATTACAATAAACTCCATAGTTCCTGCTATATATTGAACTAACATCAATTAAGCCAGCATTTATTAAGAAAAAAGAAACATTGGGCAATAGTTTTTAAGTACATATCAGATGTTCCAGGAAGTTTTGTACCCTACTGAAGGGGTAGTATCGGAGAGCGCCTCCAAGGCCACAACCTAAATTCCCACTGCACGCTTCAGTCTGGGTCTGTCATGCCTGGCAGTGTGCATGCAGGAAAGATGCTCTTTGGATTTACCCTTACCCATGTTATTTGTGCAAAATAAAATTCCATACTTAATGAAAGGAACTATTAGAAGAGATGATAGCATCAACATAGCATTAACGTGCAGCAATTCACCGTCAACTTTATTATTTACTGTTACCTTACTCCCAATAACATATGTAGGGGCTGAGGATATAGCTCAGCAGCACTTTGCCTGCCTGGCAAGTGCAAGATCCTGAGTTCGATTCCAGCATATTCAAAAGCCTTTTGTAAGACAGAAAAATCATTCTGGATTACTTTGTTTGCTCTCTCTCTCTCTCTCTCTCTCTCTCTCTCTCCTTTACTTTCTCTTTTTCTCTCTTGAGACAAGGTCTCACTATGTAGTCTAGGCTTAAACTCATATATAACCTAGCCTGGCCTCAAACTCACAGGAACCCTCCTGCCTCAGCCTCAGAAGTGCTGGGATTACAGGCATGTGCCACCATGTCTGGCTTGACTTCTCTTAAATTAATAGAAAAGGGAGTGTATGTACTTGGGTACTATGGGTACTATGTACCCTAAAGGGTACTATGTACCCTTTCCTGTTTCCACTATTATTCCCAAACTTTTTCAATTCCTTACCTAACCCATTTAAGCAAAAAGTTATTAAATATCTACCATTCTATTCCACTTTTAAATATTATCAAATAAATAACATGAGCCTCATTGCAAATTAATCTCTTAGTACTTCAAGCTTAACTCTTCTTTGGTCCATGATCACCTCGAAAAGATCTAGCATCTTTTCACCAATGTGTCATTAATATTTAACAACACAATTCATAAATGAGTCTACCTTTTTAAAACAAAATGTCAGCTAATGATATAATTAGATGAGTAAAACTCTTGTCACTATACTGATTTTAGTACTGTTGAACTCTTAAAAGGATCACCAAGTAAAGGATTTATCTTTTGTTAAAGTCCTTTAACATGAAGTCAAAGTAATACTGTCCATTAAAGAAATAAGTAAGACAAAGCATATTTCATCCAAGCTCACCTTGAACTGGCCCATTCTGCATTATTTCTTTCATTATCTGAGTTTCCTGGAAGGAAAACATCATTGTTAATGAAACACACCACACTTCCTATCCGGTCTACTATCCTAGCTGCTACGCGATCAGTGTAGTTGCAGTGTAACCCAAAGTGGCTTCACCACTTGCAACTGACCCTCAGTGATGCCTTAAAATATTTGCATGTGAAATACCACATTAGAGAACTAGTTAAAAACAAGATGTGTTCATTTGTTTTATTGACTTTTACTAGTAAATAATAACTGTGGAATCAAATTGAAATGTAATCATTTTTGGTGACAAAGAAAAAAATTATCAAAATCAGTTAAACCATGGTGAGTTAAATCAAGCTAAGTTAATCATGGACATTAGTGGAACCTTTAATCACCAATCACAAGAACTATCCAAAGTGACATTTTGAGTTTCCTTGGTAAGGTCAGCATAAATATTTCTGTGCTACCACCCAATGTTCCTATAGTAGGGAGGCATGGATTTCATCCATCCATCCATCCATCCATCCACCCATCCATCCATCCATTCATTCATTGTCTCTATACATAGAACACAGATTATACACTAGAAACTGTAATGGAAACTTATATAGATCCCACACCTATCCTTGAGGTCTTTTGATATTTGTAGTATAGACAGCAATAACACAACTACTTCTATGATTATATATTTTGTTGTTTGTTAATTTATGTAAACATAAATTCCCATAGATGCAAATAAAAAAGAGAAATTAACCCACCTAGAAGTCGAAGAAAATTTAACAAGAAGATGAAATTTTACCTTGGCCTTGGCCTTGACACTTAGGGGCATTTACCATCTGGGATGGAGGGACAGCTACCTGAGTTGGGCACAGGAATCAGCACCTAGCTCAGCAGAGAACATGAAAGGCATATCATATCTGGAGGATAGGAACTATCAGGAGCACTGTACACAGACAGAGGAGGCAAATTCTGGTTTATAGTCTGGACATAACTTGCTGTCACTGAAAATTCAGATAACAGTGAAACGATTTGCCTCGGCTTCAACATGACAAATAGGAATAAAAAGTCTTTTCTCTATTATGGCTACACTCACTTCAATTACTTTGTGGAGGAAGGCAAAAAATTGATGGAAACTACTACCACAAAAAGTCAGTGAAAAGAGTTTGATATGGCTTTTAATTGTCCAGTTCATTCATACACATGCACACACAAACACACACACATTGCAAACCATGATTAAAAACCTATTTCCATGGGTGTTGTTTGATTTTAAGCCAAGCCTTGACACTGCTAGTAGCATAAATATTAGAGATCTTACCCAAAGTGGAGGTCTTCAAAGCACATTTTAAGAATATCCAAAACTGTATCTAACCACATGACATTTAACTTAGATTATCATAGCAAATGCCAAAATGAAAATTTTGAGTTTAGGTTTACCCTCATTTGGAGTCTAAATCATTTTTAATTAGTATCAGTAACAGCCAAGCGCTCTGTGTTTGAGAATGTCGACCAGCATTGGCTCCTGCCACCAGACTTACATTGGAAGAGACCCTGTACGGGGGAGAGCACTGGTAGATCCTGTTCGATTTCTCTATGTGGTTGGGGCAGGGAGTCGTGGCATGCCGTTTTCCCCGCCCGTCGGACCTGCTGGCCATGGCACATCCATTGGTTGCATTTTGGTCCTTGAAAAGTGGATAGCATGCATGAGATACCAGTCTAAGAAAACAAGAAAATAAGTAAAGATATTACTTAGTAAAATACCATAATAACTTGTCTACATTCAACTTTATTGAATTAAACATCCGTAATTTATGCTGGTTCTCTATCTGTACCAGAGCTTGGAAAATGCCAACTGCAGCCCACCTGCAGCTCTTGGCATTACACTCCTGGCATTATACTCTGGGCCTCATTATTTCTTCATTAGAAAATTTCAAATCTTCCTGTGCTCCTTTTTAACATGTAATTCTCTCTGCAGTGTAGCATTTCCCAAAGATGAAAAGGAGCCAGCAATAGAGTCCAAGTTAATATTTATTAATTGGGCTCCATCAGCTTGTACCTACAGCAATAATGTGGAAGAGCCAACTAATTATGAGAAGGCAACCAATATGATTATTCACAGGTAGGATAGTCTTACAAACTACATGGTATTAGCACTGAGGTTCGTTTGCATTTTACTGTTTTAAGCAACAGTGTGAGCCTTTATTTGAACAGCAGCCCCAGGTCAGTCAGTGCCCAAAGGAGCCTTCCTCAGTCAAACCTAGGAAATGGCTGGGGTGGGCTGCTTACACAGCAAGTCATTTTGTGGATATTTTTAAGTTACAGTTAAAATGAAGCTTCAAAGATTATATATCCGCAGTTTCTGATAGTTTGAGGAAAATACCAGAGTACTTATGTCATGCAAAAGCTAATAATTTAGAAAGTTATCAGATGTCTACACAGTATAAAGGCTTAAAATTAGTTTGATTTCTGATTTTGAAACCAGGCATAGTAAAGTATTAAATATGTGGTTGCAAATCTAACACAATCCTATTGAACCGAAAAGTAGATAATAAGGGAAATAAAATCATGGAACTAAATCAACTATTCAGTGCTGAAATTCACCCACTGAAGCTGGCTCAAGAAAATGTAACATCATCAAACAGAATATAAGAATTTGCCACAGAGGATGAGGAGGGTGAAATCATTAAAAAGATTCAACACTTTTTAAAATCTGCATTGAGTGCGCTGCATTTGCTTTAAACACTGAGTCTGAGGACTGAACTGTGTCAACGTGGAATCTGCACGCTGCAGCCCAACCATTGCGTGACTGTCTGATGGAAGCTTTGGGAGATTGGAATGGGGGCCCTGGCTGGGAGGAACACAAGCACCAGAGAGGAGAGGGGACCCCTCCACTCTTTCCCCTCACACAGCCACATGGGTCCCAGTCAGTAGCTCGGACCTCACAGCCTCCTGAATGTGCTGTGTGTCTGCCTACAGTACTTTACTATTTGTCTCAATAATAATTTATATTTCTAACCTCCTAAAGATCTTCTATCTTTTCATAGTATGAAACAGGAACCAACTGAACAATTTTACACCAGGAAATTAAAGCTTAAGTTCCTCATGTGAAGCACGGTATAAGATAAAATACAGGAAAACAATTTTTTAAACCTATAGCCACTAATCGCTCCCTGACAATCATTTGCTCTCCTACATCTGCCTGTTCTAGAGCAGCCCAGAGCAATGAGAAGGCAGTACAAAACCACTGCATACCCCACTGGTTGCCCCACTGGTAGGAACCACTGCATACCCCACTGGTCGCCAGCAGCTGCTCCTTCCCTGGACAACCAGTGCTACCTAGAGGAGTTCTTATGGCCCCTCAAGGACACTGGGCGGGTCTCAGAGGAGATTTATATTTAGATAGATGTGGCATATGTGTTCCAGGGGGTTTGTTTTGTTTTATTTTTCTTTTTTTTTTTTTTCTTTTTGTAGTGCCAAGGATGAAACTCAGAGCTTCATGTATGCACAGCAAATCCTTGATCTCTGAGCTAAGTCTCCAGCACAGAATTTGTAAAGAAAAATGCTTAAAACAATTTCAATTAGTTTTAACTGAAAGCAACACCTGTAAGAATCCCAGAAGCACATGTGGCGCAGCTATTTACCCACGTTTTCTCAGGTACCACCACGCCCTATCGACGCTTCCACCGCCGCATCCGTGACGTTTCCTGGCACAGCAAGAGATCAGATTCTGGGGGGAGAGGTTGGCTGTGTATCGACCACTGGACTGAATTGCTATTCGGTCAGCAGCCACACCTGTTCCAAGCAGAAGACTGATTAATACTCCAAATGTATATCACACAGTATTTATAGCTTACATAGTCATTTTTGTTTGAACCCTAGGTTCCAACGTGTACAGTTTAAAATTAGAGTCAAATGTCATCAGTTTGTCTACGTGTTCCAACCAGTTCAACCTTGTCATGTCCTAGCATCTATCATATGTTCATATCGTTTCAGTAACTTAGTGATTTTGCAGATTTTCCTAGCTCCTTGCCATGCTCATCTTCATTAAGAACCTGTCAAGTGCAGATCTCTCTGAGGACAAGACTATATGTTACTTATATATCTACGTCTTACATCTAAGAAAGTATCTTGCATATTGTTATGAATAAATATACTTTTAAATGAGTGTAAGTAAGCTGGGGAAGTCAGGGAAACTGTTCATATATTCATCGTAGTTTAATATGCTGGAGTAAATAAGATCTTTGGTCTTATCTAAAGTAACTACCCAGGACACCATACTTCAGCTAACTCTTACTATTATGAGTCTGTCTTCAGCAATATCTAAAAGCTACCTAGTATATCATTTATGTTTATAATATGACTGTAAGTCATTACCTTAATTTTATTTCAGTAGATATAGAATTGACCTTTTATATACATATATTCACAATGAAGCAAGCATATTATTAGCTATAGTTATAACAATCCTTAATACTATAATTATTAACTAATATTAGTTGCATACAATTGTTACATATAACTATATATGCAATTATGCTTATATTATATAGTACTACATATAACTATCCTGAATATGAAATTGGTGACATACAATGATATATAACTAAAATATAGTTATTAAAATTACTAATAATTATTGCAAATACATTAATATTCCAAGTTGTATAAATACACATTCATTTTTATGACTGAAACTTCCATGCCTCAGTTTAAATAACTGATGATGTCATTTTTCTACAAGTTTATTCCTTTCTTCAATACATTTACTGAGTACTTATTAATATTACAAGCCCTGCAATGTTAGAAATTACAGTGATTAAGCAAGAAACAAGAGACACACGGTGCATACATAGCCATTTTTCAACAAGGGAAAAACCAGTAGCAGAAATCAGTACCAGTTCGTCTTTTGATCCCACTTTGACCATAAACTAATATGAATGATGAGAGCATGAAAAAGGGTGGATGCTATGTCAGTAACAGGCTGATGATTCTATTCGACACCTAGCACAGTTTCTGACGTTTAGTCTCAGGCTAAACCCCAGAGATCACCTTCCTCAATTTAACTAGAGGCAACAACATCACACCCTTTCTTCTATCCATTTTTTACTATGTGCTACACATGTTTTCCTCATTAAAACTGCCTGAGCACCAGACTCAACCAGGGCGTTAATGTAAGTATCTTCATTTTAAAAGAATTCATTTACATATGTAACTCTGCATTCAGTTTTTATGTAACTGCAGCAGCTGCACAATTCTGGAGTGCAATTTTTGGCACACATTATTAGATGTTTAGTATGTGTTACACCTATCATCTCTCACTTCATCCTTGATTTCCATCTATCATTTTATTAAGATACTCATCATTGTGACAAACTCACAGATTTCCATCTCTGATATTCTCATGAGAATAATTGTTTCATAAAAGAAAGTAGAAATTCCTTGATATTTTCACATTCAGTACCAGGACTTAGAATTAAATACAAATTATTTTAGATGCTAGTGCAACGTCTTTCTTCAGCAGAAACAGTGGCCACGCAGGTGGAAGCCCGGCTCTCAGGGTCACCTCTGACACTGCTCCCTTTGGCCTAAGGTAAGTCACATCCCCTACCTGTTTTCAGCCCACATGGTTCCTGCTCATGTAAACAGTTCTGGATCTCAAGGAAAGTTCGGTTCAGATTCACTTAAAATATTTCAGAAAGGTCAGAAGAGTAAAGAATGACTCAGCCAGCCAGTGTTGTGTTCCACTCTGTTCTTGAGAACTTGTCTTGGGCACCACCTCTGACACATGCTCAGGTTTTCTCTGTTTATTTTTTCTGTCTCAAAGTGATTTTGTGAGGTGCATCACTCCCAGCACTGCAAATGTCTCTACCTCTTCAGCTTCTGACAAATAGCATGCATTTTATTTTGTTATATAAGTGCGTACGCATGTTTTATGGGTCTTATTCATTCCATTTGTACTGTTTTGTTTTCTCTTAAATTTTTAAACTACTTCTGGACACAGTTTTCTAGATCTTCAGAATTTATTCTTTTCTTCATTCAGCACACAAATAAAATAGTCCTGATTTATCATATTAAATACACAAGATACAACGCTGCGTCCTCGGAAACCACAGAAGTACCGAGAGCAGTTTCTCGGTGCCGCAGTAAACGAGGTAAGAGGATAATCCCGACACAGCCTATGCTGTGGGATCTGCGAAGACAACGAAAGTACACATCCCAGATTAGCCTACGAAGTTGCTCTCAGAGTTCGTTAATGACCAATTTTTAGACTAAAATGATAATCTTCAGATTTCTTTCTCTGGCTAACTTTTAACTTATCAAAAGTTCTAATTTTAAAAACCTTTTAATTCCTCTTCGAGGATCTAAAGCCAAAGAGTGAATTTATAAGTAGAGGAAATGACTCTATTACTTGCAGTGGAAAACGCCCAGGACGCAGCACAGTTTTTCTGATCCAGAGGGCCGTGAGTCCATCCTGGCCACTTATAAGAGGCAATAAAAAATTCTGGAAGATCAATTTTGGCAGGTAAAGCAGCCTAGAAGAAAGGACAGAAATATCAGATTTTCTCAAATGCATCTGGACTTCCATCATGAGAAGACAGCGTTGCCCCTGTTAAAGTTTGTGATTACCATCTAATTCTTTTGCACATTCAAGTTTCTAAATAGAAGACAGCTTCTATGATTTCCACTTCACTATTTAGAAATGACAGTGCAATGTGGGATTATAACATAATAAAAAAATCACAATGAACACACTAAATGCGTGTTGTGTATTGCACAGAGCAATAATTTAAACCAGAGTTTCTTGAATCACAGTTTGCTCATCCCTGTGAGAGACCACATGAGACTATTCAAACTGGGCCTTAAGGGATATTTCCTGTTTTGGACAGAATGTGTGAATCTGCAGTGAAATCAATTCTGAAATGTTGCATTTACAGCAACCACCTTTTACCATACTCAGAGCCAGCCAAAAATATCAGCTTTATTCCAGTTATTAGGAAGTGGAACGCAAATGAATTAATATTTACAAAACTCTTAAAAAATTAAAAGACTTTAAGACGTTTGTAATACTAAATGCATGGTGTCTTAAAAGCCCGTGTAAAAGTCCTGACAAAGTCAATATTGTATTCCCTCTGTTTGTGTTTCAGAAAATTAGAAATATGTCCTATCATTTTTAAGCTTTAATAAAGACTGATGTTTTTCATATCTAAATAATCAGGACACAAATGAAATGAGGATTTGTTGATTACTTGTCTTAATTTATATGCACAGAGGCTCAAACACACTCATCATAAGTCTTCTGGGTGTTTCAATATTTATTATTCTCCTGCATCCTCAATAGTCCCATGTGATATAACCTGGAAAGTATTGTTAGCTCTTTCTTTATAAAGGAAGTAACTCATTTCTAAAATCTAGAAGACATGCTAAGGACTATCAGATAAATGGGATTTACCACTGGAAATGGAACCAGGTTCTGGAATTCTTAAGAGCTCACTCAATTTCTATTATTTTCCTATTTTATCACAGTATGGATGCAGGATCTTGTAGCAAAAGTTAAGTGTCTGTGAAATGTAAAAATTCTACCTGCTTACAAGCCTTCAGACTGTGCACTGAAGAGCAGAAGCCATTGATCTGCTATCTTGTGAAGTGACTTCTGATAGATACATAACACCCTCGAGGTCCAAAGCAAGGGAATTTAGCATGTGTGTGTCTGCTTGAAAAGGCACCCATCAGGAATAATTTATAAACTGAAACATTAATGGGAGTGTTCAGTTTTGATTTAGGGAACAACTGCCACCTGATACAGAGGTTATGAAACCCAGAATCCATTACTAAGGACGCTGCTTGGCTCAGTAGGAAGGGAAGTGCAGAAGCATCAGCAGATGTGGGCCCCGCAGGAAAATCCAGGAGCAGTCCGCACCACAGTGGCTGGGGGTTCTGATGCTGTGGATGGACCACACTAAAGAGGCCGAGAGCTGCAGCAGACTACGTTTATTGCTCGGAGTAGGATAGGTTCACAGGTACTGACTCAGTCTCCAAAACCGTCTTTCTAAGCGGGCCAGAAATACACACTTCTACAAACTCCTACCGGCCCAGATTAGCATCACCGGCTCATCACTGGACATTTAGCCACTTGTGTTAAATTGCCTGCATTTTCCAGAAAAACAGGTATAACCATTAATATTTTATCACCTTTAAATTCCAATTTAATATCATAGCTAGGGCATGTCCTTTTTGCTCCACTAATGCAAGAAAGGTGTGACTATTACTTCAAAAACATTTCTGTGGGGTTAAATTATTTTCAAAATAATTTCCACACTGAAGCCACCAAAGTGCTCTGCATGTAGAAGATACTCCGTCTGACCACAGCAGGGTGTATTCCGGGTAGATTTCTTCTTTTAAAAAGGTGCTTTGCCTTGGCACATTAAGGTGAGTTATTGTACCAAGGAGCAATTTTTGCTTTTATGATTTATTCTTTAAAATGAAGTAAGTAACAAAGTGACATTTTTATTGAAAATATGTTTACCATTTCCCCAAAGTAGGTGAACTTATCTATTCGATTTTTATATTTTTACCACTTATTGAATATTTCTTTTCCTAAAAAATTAGTCTCTGGAAATTGAAGCCCATAGGATCCATATTACCTTGTGATTTTATTAGACAATTTTATGTCAGACAATCTGATATAAAAATGCAGAGAAAAGTTTATATTTCATAGAAACAATGTTATTTAGAGCTTATCAGTAGAGGGAATTATCAAAATAATAGCTTTTTAGAACATGTGATAGAAGTCTGACTTCTCTGATTGACATATCTTTAAATTTTTACTTCACTTTTTGCCAAAAGAAGAACTAACAACGCAAAAGAATCAAGAAAACCAGCTAAGACTGACAGCCATTCTAAAATTAGTGTCTTCAACAAGATAGACAAAATACAAGTTTATATTCAAGCAAGATTTACACTCTTCTCTATGGCCATTTAAAATCCTTTATATTATTATTTTTAAAACATTTTAATCACATATTTTCAAACTCAGCCCTTGCTAGCTTTGATATTTAATTTGAACAGTCTTCCTTTTTTTTAAAATTCCATTTAGGAATTAAAAATTAAAGATATTCTGAGCAAATATTAATTAAATACAGTGGTAAGCACTGGAGAGCTTCCTTACATAGCTCATGGCAGTGTGATCACAGAACAGTTTGAGGCAAACTGATTTTCTAAGAGCTCTCTGTAAATGCTGAGTGTTTTTAATGGAGCCGACCCATACGGTATCCTCTCTGAGACATTCCTCTTCCTCTAATTGCAATTCCCCTGCTTCAGCTGGGCTCATTAAAGAGACCTGTGTGTTATATAAAGCAACAGAGGAAATAACTGTGTCTGATCTTCTCAGGCTGAGGTCAGTGGCTGCGACTGCCACAATTTGACATTGGGAGGAAAAGGGTAATTTTCTATTGCTAGCAGTTAAATGAATTTCTGGTTTTTAGCACTAGCTGCCTTCTCGCCTTAGCATTTAAGGCCTTACCCATTGCTCTTTCTCTGGTTCCCAACCAAGGAGTAAGTTTCATGACAGTGTCAATGTCAGCACCCAGAATGCAGAGTGGCAGCTGCTGGTTCTTCTCCAGCGCCCACTTTCATCATAGCACAGAATTGCTATCTCAGCCACTCAGCCTTAGAAAAAGGACAGAATGCCTACGTTTCCTGGACTTCTACTGCCAGTGTTGAACATCCATACCGCAAGCCAAGGTGTTTGGGCAGTCAGAAATTTAGGACAATGAGCAATTGTCTTTGACTCCTTTTTCTTGATCTTTAAACATAATAGATCCACGCGGACCAGTCTTCTTGACCCATTTCATGGCCTCAGACCCATTTCATGACCTGGGCAATGGACAACATCAAGAAGCAGCGTGAGTTCTCACCAGCACAGAGCAGCTCCCTCACGGGGCCCTCCAGACTTGCTATACAGTGGTACACTTCTGCTTTGTCTCTGTGACTGACAGTTACAGGTTTTGTCACGCTCACCTAACCCTAGTCGTAACTAACACAGCACATATAGTATCATTACAGCTGGTAGGGCAGGGCCACCTTTCATTCATGCCAGCACACCAGCCAATGCAAGTCACCATCCTGAGTTCAGAGATGTCAGAAAGGGAAGGAAATGGGCACACAAAGTGGATGAACTATGGTATTTCCTAGACTGAGCTCCACAGAATACTAGTTCTAAGGAATTTTAATGGATAATCAAACAAGAGTTTAATCAAATAGTTCTAAACACATTGGTCTTGAAATTACATAGATCTTTGCCTTTACTAAGTAGTTTTTATTGATTTGCTAGTGTATGTGAGGCAGTGGAGATACGTTCATGACTTTAAATGGCCCTGATGTGACCTGATACAAAATGCTTTATCAGATTTTACATTTCTTATCATGTTTGTGAAGATCAAAGTGCTATTGGCTTGTATGATATGTGATGGATAGATACAGTAAATGTATAAATGCTTTTAAAACTCATTACAATTAAAAACACATTTCCATTCAACCTTCTCACAGTACTCCTGCTGGCTGGGAACATGCTCTCCCATCCGATTCGCCACCTTCTGAGGAAGTTCTTTCCTGAGAGTCTTCAAATGTGTGACATGGCTGTCTTGATGGGCTGAATCAATGCCAAACACCTCTTAAGATTCTTTTGACTTTGAAAAAGAACCGGCAGTGTCACAGTGCCAGATGAGACGAAGGAGGTAGCCGAGGACACACCGTAATGTTTTCACGGCCTCCTATTAGACGGCACTTGGCAATCACATTCACCATATTTTTGATCACATCTTGTAAAGAAGGAGCTCTTCCAGCTGCTTTGCAATGTGACAGCAATGGTGGGGTGAGCGTGTCCAAAGACAGGGGAAGTGTTCTGAAGGGGATTAACGGCAATGTGTCTTTCACTGTCCTTTTGTTTTTAAATTTAAACATTCACTGTTTATTTGATCCTCTTTCTACTTTGGGGAAAAATTAGTATTTATGGAAAAGATGGACCCAGACAGAGCGTGGATCCAGAACAGGTACCCACTGTATCTGCACAGCAAATTGCTGCAGGAATTGACTTAACGGCAGCCCAAAATATCTGTTCATACAGAAGAAAAAGCAAATTTTCCCATTTCTTTTTAAAGATCTGTCCCGCAGTGATCAAGTCAGTCCCGCTGCATGGGTCACGTCGGTTACAGCACAGAGTCACGCTCTAACTGTGACGTGTGTGGAAAAAGAAAATTGAAAATCCAGGGGCTGCTGTGAGAGCTGGGCCGCCACTCCCCCACAAGTGCATAGAATGAGGAGGAGGAGGAGGCCAGGTGCAGGCTGTTCAGTTACTGGAAGGTTTGGGATCTGGTTTTCACAGGGAATGGGGAAGGACTTGAGCCAGCAGAACATGTTTGGATGCTTTTCGACGTTAGAACCCTGCATTCAGCGCAGCCAGACAGCTAGTGCCTCTGCTTCCCTGAGAGGAGCAGCTGCTGGGGTGAGCTGAGGGGAAACTGGGGCTCATCACCAT